AAAGAAAAAAGGAAAATAAATTAATTTACATTGTACACTGCAAGGAAAAAGTTCCCTTGGGTATTTGAGTTCTCTACATCTACCACCTTCCACTGTGAAGGTATTATAAGTCTCTTTATCTAAAAATGCTCCCATGACTATGTTGGGGGAGGGGGGGGGATTAAGCAATTGTGACCTTAAATCAGACCCTACCTTTCAACGTAACATATAAAAATATTAAAGTGTATCATTTTTCATTCTCACTTTCACAATCTAAAATGCCATACAATATTGAAATAGAGAAGGATTATAACACAAGTAAAATAGGCATCCCAAATCCAGAAAATTAGACTGACTCAAGTGTGGATTTTAGAATTTTTACACTTAGCACCAAAAGTTTTATATTCTCGTATGGGAGAAACATGTTGGCTTTTTTCAGCAAAAATATTCAGTAAAGCACACTGGTTACTCTCCACTACCTTACCCTGTCTCCAACACTGCCAGAATCTATTCTGAGAAAAAAACATAACCCACAACACACCCGTTCAGCTTATTCATCACCAGCCACACATTTCCTACTCTATTCTTGTTTTCCAGCTCAAATTGATTTTTCTAGGACAGGACTATTGCACTATTTAAGGTTCTTCAATTAAAATGGCATATTTTATTCATGATTATATCCAAATACTACAATTATGAGGACCACGTAGAGTACTTAGATAAGACACATTTTCAATATTTCTTTCAGCCTCCTGCACTTCAAGGCAACATTTCTAGATTGTCATCCACCGAAATGACTATGGCCTAAATTGCTTCAAATGTTACCAAAATCCATTGAGATTTTTTTAAACCGAACATTGATTGAGAGATCAGGTTCATGCCCCCTGAAGATGTGAAGCTAAATGTAGATAGATCTGCTTCCAGGCTTGAAAGTGCATTTTCACATCTTTGTGCACCCCCTAATGTAATTTCAGGTAGTTTGAAGCATTACCACCTCCACCAGGGACAAACAAATGAAGGAAGTATCCCAGAAGAACATTCACTTCATCTGAACTGAACAAGTCATCATGCAATAGAAAAAAGTGAAATCAGGGTTTTGTTTTAAAAAAATTAAACAGCTTATCTATAGAGTCCCTTACCAAAATTATAAAAGATTAAAATTTTAAACAGCCTGAGATACTTTAATAGTTTCAAATGGCGCTGAACTAATTTTTTTTTAATTAATCCAAAAAACGCTCCACCTTTGATATTGACTTTTCCCCCTTTGGTGTCCCAGTACAGGGAACAAACTATTTCCTGTAAATGAAATGGTTTCCTTTTTTATTTTTTAAAGCACTATCTTCTAAAATTGGTGATAACTTTTTTTTTAACCATAACCATAAAGTACAGACTTACTATTTTGATTTGTAAGTATTTTAACATGTCTTGGTTTCCCCTTTTGTAGCTCAGCTAGAGATTTATTTCCTACCACAACCAAATTTCAAAACAGACATAAGGAGAGTAAGAAATTACAAGCCGCAACATTGTTATACAACATACTATACAAAAACAGGTCATTTAAGTTACAAGAAACCTAGTCATCAATAAATGAAAAAAATATCCCACTCAAAAATCAATTATTTCGAGTCTTTTGTATAGAGAAGTAGTACACCTTTCAGGCAACTGGTATTAATGAGAAGACATGACTATAGAATCTCCATCTGTTTTTCTGACAAAGCTGTGACTACTCCAGTCTCTCATTGAAATTCCATTAATCTGGTGCACCAGGGTCCAATGCGAAAATCAAAACTCCATCTAACCCATTATCAGCTCACAATAACCTACAAGTGAACTCTGCCTGTTAGCACACAGCAAGTTATGATTTTGCGATCAGTCAGCCTGTTAGCCAATAAAAAAATAAAAAAAAAAAAAAAATCAGGTTAGGAACACAGTGCCTGGCAGGGATTTTTGGTTTGGTTTGATTTTGGGGGTGCTTTTTTTTGTTATTTTATTTTTTTAATCTTTTTTCAGTTTCTGTACGGTGTCTGGACCTTCTGAGCCTATGCATTATTCTCCTTCGTTGTGATTTAATTGCTGCCAGCAATCAAGTCAAAGCATCACTGAAGTGTGCTTGAATTTCATTAGAAGATATAACTTATGCTACTTTCCTACAGTACCTAATAAACCATAAAGAAACCAAAACACATATGGCTTGAGGGAATAACTGGAAAATTAGGTGGCCATTTGGGAACTGAGTGAACTTTTGAACCAGAGGAACAGAGAAAAAGAAATATTAAAAGGAAAGACAGACTTAGAATGCACACAGAGATGTGGGGGTTTGACCTTTTCAGTACCTAGAAAATTACATTAGCATTATGAAAAATACATATCATGTTTAGAGTTTATAATCCATCAAAGTTTAGATACTTTGTTAGTGCCTACCATAAGGTAAAAGTCAAAAGGACAAAGTAACAATCAGATTTGACAAAAGGCCTTTTGGTGACCTGGACTAATTTAGTTATACCGTACTTATTGTTAAATGGATTATCTCCCTTGTAATTAATATAACATTAGATAAAGGGCTCTCACACAAAAAACAGGAGTTTAGAATGATTGCAGAATACATATGATAGCCCTCCAGACAGTTACAGATAATTATTAGTATAACTTTGCAATTATATTTTTAGAGGAATACTGAGAAATCTGAACTTAGTATTTATAGAAAACATACAAGTCTTAAATTCTTTATTGTAATGTTTAAGCACATAAAACCTAATAATTTTGCATTACATAATCATTTAAGTACAGTAGAAGAAGAATGACCCTGGAAGTTAAATGGAGAATATTTCTGAACTTCAGTTAGGTTCCTAATTCCATACTTAATAAGCCTTGATCCAGCAACTGAATGAGTACAATGAGATTCTTACACCTGCATGGACCCCACTTTAAGTAAACGGGGATCAGCACAGGATCATGCGGATTAAGTTACAGGATTGTGCCTTTAGGGTCCTAAATATAAATAGGCTGGTTTTTGAAACTACTGAGCACCCACAAATCCATTCATGTCAATAAGAGCTGGAGGCACTCAGCACCTTTCAAAATCAGGCTACCTATTTAGGTACCTAAACACAAATTTGGGAGCCTAAGTCTAGGCAGCTAGATTTGAAAATATTGGTCTACATTTTGAATTTCAAATGTCTTTAAAATTACCTACTGCAAACTAAACAAAAATGATTCAAGGAAATTATCAATATTTATGGACCAATTCCACCATCTTTACTCACTTCTGACTCAGGATCTCCCACAGGACTTGGCCACAAGGGACAACAGTATAAAGTTTCATCATCTTAGATTATATTATCTTGTACTAGTTGTATTTTTATCCTACATTTTATTTAATTATCTAAGGATTTTGCAAATTGGCTATTATAGTGGTATCTATGCGCTTAATCTAGTAATTACAACATCCAAAAGAGACTAAATTAATTATCTGTATGTCCAAATTGATAATATATTTAGGCATCAGCATTGTTCAACAATTCATTATTCAGTTTTGTCAACAAAACTGCTGTCTTTTTCTTAATAATGTACAACTTCAGAAAAAAATATATAGCTTTATTTTCTCTGTCAAATATCCAGATAATTTTGACATATATCCTTTGTAGTAGCTTCAAACTCAACATATCGTAAGATATAACCACAAAAAGGTATTTTAATAAAATCTGTAAGTACAAAAATGGAAACTTTAACTTGTTTGTACTTTGGAAAACTAATTTAGATTTTATATAAGCCATGCCTTGTTTGACTAATAATTATAATATGAACAACAAACAAAGTTTGTTTTTGCTTTTTTAATAAAATTTCTACATTTGCCAAAATGAAAAACAAGTGCAACTGAAAAAGTATGTGATTATTGTTGCACATTTTAACAAAGTTGTGTGTATAAAGAAAATGTCGTTATTCAGAATCAGTGGTTAGAAGGTTTATCACTTATGCATGTACTTGACTTATCCCTGTTCTGCAATAGACATAATTTTATACCTCATAAAAGCAATTTATGTTTCCAAAGGGAATAATCTGGGTAACATAAAATGTGGAGTGCTATGTTGCGGGAAGCATATTTTCATTCAGCAATTGTATTCTGAGATGGAGCTGCACAGTTTGATCATCATATCATGGCAGAAAACATCATTCACTTCTAACTTTCAGTGCCACAAATTAATATACATAGTTAATTCATTTCTATATGTATTTAATTTATAATCATATGTTACCCATACAAGATTTTTTTATATTGTGTATAAAAATAAATGGACCTCAAAAAATGGAAGCAATGATAAAGCAAGCTTAACTCTTGCAATATTCAGTTGTTCATATCTTCATTAAATGTAATGCTAAATTTGGTTGTTTATATGCTTTTGAACACAGGATAAAACAATATGAAAACAACTATGGAACAAAGGTTTTTTTTTTAAATGGGAAGTCAAACTAAACAATTATATAAAGAAAACAATCTACATAAGACAGTCTTAATCTGAGGAAGTATTGTAGGAATAATTAATTTAATATTTTATGAACTCGTTCTGCATGAAGTTTAAAGAAAAATATCAATCAATTAAACTGTTTCATTATTTATAAGATAAATAATACAGCAAGCCATTAAGTAGCACAATAAAATTAAGCAAGAATCTGATCATGTTGAATTAACAAACAATTTGTTACTATGAATATTCACATACTGCTTTACCCACTGATCTATCTTTAAAAAAATTCTACAGAAGAGTTTTCATTATGAAAAAATATGTGAGTAAAAACAGTGTGCACTTATGACAGGTTCACTATGCTGTTAGCACCACTAGAGAGAGCTCTTCAGTTCCTTAAAGGTTCTTGTAAAGGTAAGAAAACTGTCCAGCTGTCTGATGATGCCCATCTGTTTATCTGCTTTCCAACCATAACACCACCCTAATCAAAAAGATCAGATTGCATGGGTTTGTAGCAAACTGGCAAATCTAGTGCATTCTAAGATAAACAGAGTCACGTACCATCAGAGGGTCCTTCATCCTCTTTATCATATCGGTCAGATGCTAATGAGAGATTATCAGGAGGTGAAGGGAAAGAGCCCTCAGACTCTTCCTCATCTTCCAATTCTCCTGCAAGAGTCAAACAGAAACCATTTGTTAATAACTGTCTCCTTCTGACAAACAGAATTCATTTTGAAAGCAGAGATTTAGCAATTCTTTGTTAATAAGAAAGAATGATGTCAAGTCATTTTAAATTAAACTGAACAAATTCAGGGTCCTATTGTTCTCTTAATTTCACTTCATGTACCTCTGAATACTAGAGTATGGCTGTGCACACTGGTGCTCCAAAGCTACATTCTAATTGGCCAAGTGGGTCTTTTTAATGATGTCATATTAATGAACCCCTCCCAGTGGTGCACAGCTGGGAAAAAAGAGAAAGAAAGAAAGAAAGAAAGAAAAAGAAAACCATGCCACACACCAAAACTGTGTGTGAGGGGAGAAACTAACAGGAAACGAAAGACAGACAGCCTGAGGATAGAGGGAAAAGAGAACACATTTGGGGAAGAAAGGGAAAGTCTTCAACTGTCTCCTTCGCAAAAAGTGCCAAACTGCATTTTCAGCAACATTTTGTGCACTTCCACACGTTTTCAATTTGCTTTCTCCTCAACTACGAACTATTTTTCAAAAGTGTAAGGATACATCTTTCCACTTAAAAGTATTTTTAAAGGTAGTGTTTCCTTTTCCCTTTGAAATAAAAAATGGAGTCACACTTTAATAGCACTCAGCTACAACTGTGTGTGTATAGCACAGTAATCTATAGGTGTGCTTCTCAGGGAACTAAGGGTCTCAAATACACCTGAGGTATGCATCAATAGCTGGCTAACGTACATGTCATGTTGGGTCTTACTGCTATAATGAGGGGAAATGGAGGGGGGGGGGAAGTATTACATGCAACTTTCGTTTTCATTATGCAAAATGAAGTTTCCTTCCCAAAATGTGGTATATGTCTAAAAATATACCAACTATGCAAAGAAAAGGAGAAGAGTTACGCATATCAGAGAATGTAGAAAAAAGAGAGTGCCCAATCGCTCTTCTTTCAAAAACTGTTTATATTTTGCAAAAATTGAGTGGTTAAAGCTGAAGTTGTCAGGCTTAAAAAATTACCCACACATAAAAATAATCTGAGCACAAATAGAAACACTGTCGCCCTGTGTACGAGAACGTGTATTTGTGTACCCATACTTTGTGTTGAAAATACAGTAATTGAAATACTTAACACTAAGAAAATATACCATAGACACTGAAATAGAGGGGGAACTAACTTGGAAGATGTTTGAGACTATATTAAGCCAGATCTTTTGTTTTTGTGTTTAAACCAAGTGCTTTGTAGTTCACACTACAGGCTGAAATGCAGTCTTTAACTCACCCAATTGTACCTGGGAATTGTAGCTCATTTTGGTATCATAGATCACCCAATATTCTGGAGCTTCAATGAAAAACACATCTACAATGCGTAAGTTTATGCATGACAAAATGATTTAAGAGTAGAATCAGCCTTAATTCTCAGTTTCCTGGCTTTGTGGGGTTGAGAGATTTAGGAGTCTGTTCTGTTAATATATAGGGATATTACTCCCTAAAGTTTTATACATCAAAAGTATAATAAGCCTTCTTGTTAATTCTGTGGGGTCTTCTGTATCTTTGGACAAGCCCTAGTAATCCTTTCCCTACTTTTCATCTTCCCACAACCAGACCCTGTATCAAAGCCAATATTCTTCTGACTGAGGAAGACTGGAACAGACTGTATTTGAAGCTATCAATGCTACTCCTTAACCAGTCAGAGGAGTCAGTGTTGAGCAGCACAAACCATTTTCTCCCCTCCACAGGTGCTAAGTGCCTGCAAATACATCTGAAAAGCATAAATAAATTAAAGGAAAGTATTCGACTTGTATTTATGTAATAGAAAGCTGAACTACCAAGCAACAACAGGCATCAGGTAAATGTATCCAATACAATTTGAAGACATAATTGAAAGCATTACAGCCTAATCAGACATCTAAAAGCAAGGCATGCTCAAACGAATTGTCTATAGACTCATTAGCTGGCAGCCATTCCATTACAATCACACATAATGTCAGTAGTGCCTTGAGCCTATGCCAATGACAACAGCATAAATTTTGCATCTCATTTCTGTGGTCATAAAATTAATGATCAGTTTTAAAATACTTCTTTGTAAAAGTTATTGCACACAGAAAAGACATGAATGTGTCCCTGTTATATAGTCATGAGGATAATTAAGGAGTTGATGTTCATTAATATGATTTCTTGTTTCCCCAGAACAGCATTTGATTTATCCTGGAACTTTTTTTTTTAAAGTTTAATTAATGATACACTGTTAACAGTTATAAAAAAAAAAGTCCTATTCTCTCATTTCGGTGAGTTTAACTCACCACTTAGGTTTGACCACAATCAATATTTTGATTTGCCCACAATAAAAGGTACTGTACCTGATCTTTTCTTATTAAACACCATCTTTTCAATTACAGTACATTAATTTATTGATGTTCTGAAACAGCACACACCAAGGGGGTAAGTGTGCAGAATGGTAAGTGGGGAATTAGACACTTAAGTATTGTTATGTTAACAAGGGCTGCACTTTAATTCCCTGTATTCTGCATTGAACATTTCCAACAGGTTTAGCTGGTATCGACTGAATATAAGAACAAGACCATATTATTTTATAGGGATCTGGTAAAAAAACCCATCAAACTCTTCTTTTTTTCCACAATTCGTTTTCCTCTGCTACTACTTGTTCATAGTAATGAACTCAAACATTTAAGATACTACTTCAGCCACTTAATCTGTAAAGGAGATCAGACATCATTTCAGCCTCTGGCCCTGAAATAGACTCTTGCTAGATCAGGGGTAGTCAATTATTTTTTGTCAAGGTCCAAATTTCTTGGTCAAGGTATAGTCAAGGTCCAGACTCCAGAGAAAATAATAAACAGCAATAATGATAATAAATAAATAAAAATAACTTAATAATAATAATAATTTAAAAAGTAAATAACATGATTTTGGGGTCCGTTCAAAAGTGGCTGGCCATCCGGATTTAACCCACTGTCCACCTATTTACTACCCCTGGTCTAGACACTGTGTTAATAAAACATCTAGGAAGAAGGAAGCAAAAAAATTGCTCAAACTTAATCTTAAAGCATATAAAACACTTACAGGAGGGCAGGCAAGTAGCTGCCTCAAAAACTCCTGATTTTTTGCTATTCCAGAAGGCTTGGCCAAACGTGTCAAGCTGAAATGAATTCCTTCTGCCCAGTATCCAACCTTCACTGCTGGAAAGACTATTATACCCAGCAATTAATAAATGTAAGATTCCCAAAACAGGTTCGTTAGCTCAAATGAGTGAATAAAGTTACTTTCAAACTAAAGCTTGTACACTTTAGTCTCTTGGTTGTTCAGTTGATTTTCAATAGAACATCAATGAGAAAATGACTCAATCCACCTGTCACCCAAGTGGTTCCTTTGATGGCTATTCTCTCCATGCCCACTGTGACATGCAGCAAACTGATAAAGTATGTGCATTAAGGTGTGTGAATCAATCATCTAGGTTTTGATATCAAGTGGTAATTTTAAACATCCAAAGAATTCCTACCTGAGCCTTATAAAACCAAAGAAAGACATCTACATATTAAGCACTACAGAAGCAGTATGAGGTTTGTAGGTGAATGTTTCAGAGATGTGAAGAGTCAAAAAGCATTAGGAAAGTCTTTGAAAAAAAATGATAGAAATATTTAAGTAACTATCTCTGAAATTTCTCATGTAAAGTTCTCCCAGTGTTTCCAGAAGAGTTCTACTAGGAGATTGTATCTGGCATGTGAAATTTTTGGTGGATTGCTTAGGTTGGCAGTGAGATAGGGAGATACTAAGAAGTGAGCTTAAAATGGAAAGCAGCCGCTAACTTTATTTAAAGAAGGACTAGCCATCTACAAAACTCAGGGAACTAATGCTCTACACACAAGTTGATTCTTTGGCATCATCTTCACTGCATGCTAACCTCATGTTCAACACCACCATCCTGCACTTGCTCAAGCTCAACATGTAGTTAAACTACGTTGTCCTGTTGGCACACATCAGGATCACAGATATTGTGATATTAGGGAGAGGAACAACATACCAGCTTGCTCATGTTGAAAGAGGTCAGACCTCTAGAACACCCTGGCATCATGCACCCTCTCCCGCTGCATCCAAAGTAGGTGAGCATGAATATGCCATGATGGTCCACAAGAGTCTGCATAACAATGGAATAGTATCCTTTCCTGTTAATATACTCGCTTGCTCAATACTGGTGGGGATGCATACTGTTCCCCCAGCCATCGTGCCTGTGCAGTTTGGGAGCCCATCCATTCAAACCCTTCAATTATTTCAGGAATGTTTCCAATTTTACAAGCCTGGGGGACTGTGACATTGCACTCCATATGTTTTATGGAAATATGCTAATGAGTATGAATATAATGTAACTGGAATATGCTTCATGCAAAGGGTCTCTTGTAAGGTATCATTACAAAGATTATGATCTACTGAGTGTGTTTATCCTATTTGTTTGCATGTATTATTTCTAAGTCTGGAGTTAGGAGAAGATATAAACTTGTATTACTGATGTATACATGTTAAGTGGAAGCCATTAAGGGTGCTTCAGAATCAATCACCTATAAATGGCTCTGTTAACTTGCAAACCTTCTGGGGTATGTGCCAGCCAGCCTTGGAAGAATGGAGACTAGGGGTCTCACAGGACATGTGACCATGTCACATGATACTGCGATCCATCTTAAACCTGGAGCTTTTCCATTTAGGAGGAGGGGTGGGAACCCAGAGAGAGACAAAGGATTCCTGCCTTGTGCTAAAGCTATAAAAGGGGGTGGAACAGAACAAAGGGGTGGCCAATCATGAGAAATCCCCTCGTTACCACCTGAGCTGGAACTAACAAGGCTGTACCAGGGGAAAGGATTGGACCCAGACTAGAAAGAAGTCTAGTCTGTGAAAAAAGCTTAATGGAACATCTCTGAGGGTGTGATTTACCTGTATTCAGTTTCTAAATGTATTAGGCTTAGACTTGCATGTTTTGCTTTATTTTGCTTGGTAACTTACTTTGTTCTGTCTGTTATTACTTGAAACCACTTAAATCCTATTTTTTATACTTAATAAAATCATTTTTGTTTATTAATTAACCCAGAGTCAGTGATTAATACCTGGGGGCAAACAGCTGTGCATAGCTCTCTATCAGTGTTATAGAAGGTGGACAATTTATGAGTTTACCCTGTATAAGCTTTATACAGAGTAAAACGGATTTATTTGGGGTTTGGATCCCATTGGGAGCTGGGTGTCTGGGTGCTGGAGACAGGAGTACTTGCTGAGCTGTTTTCAGTTAAGTCTGCAGCTTTGGGGGCGTGGTTCAGACCCTGGGTCCTTGTTGAAGCAGGCTTGTGTGTCTGGCTCAATAAGACAGGGCTCTGGAGTCCCAAGTTGGCAAAGAAAACGGGCTCAGAGGTAGTTTCAGTACATCAGGTGACAGTCCCAAGAGGGGTCTCTGTGACCGAACCCATCACAGGGGACAGCACATCATTAATTGCCTTGCTAACTTCAATGACCATTGCACCATCTGTAGATTTTCCAACCCCAGACTGATTGCTAACTGATCTATAGCAATCTGGGGGTGTCCATTTCCATAGGCAGCAACGACGTGCTTCTGGACCTTTAATGGGTCTCATCTAGGTGCTCTGACACTCAAGGTCTGAGGCAAGCTCCTCACACAGTTCCATGAATGCATATGTTTTAATGCAAAAGTCCTGGGCCCACTGCCAGTCACCCCATATTTCCATCATAATTCGCTACCACCAGTGTGCATTTGCATTCCTGGCCCAGAAGTGGTGGTCTGCATAGAGATCATCAGCTAGGTCCATACTTCCACATCCACGTGATATCGTTCAGTAGCTGTTGTTGTGCTACTCCTAACCGTAAGCCACTGCCTCTGTCTTTTCCAGCCCCAGAAGCACGTAACAGCACAAGTATGGTATCTAGGGTCCACAGTACTTTCAACCGTGCTTCTGCCAACTTTAGCACTATTTTTAGCATGAGTTAAAAACAAAGCTCTTTTAGCTAAACATTTTGGCAGCCAAAATATTGATTCAGTTAATCTCAAACGTAGATAGAAATGCCAAAAACTGTAATAACTCTCAATCTTCAACAAAGTCCAGGCTCCTATCTCCTTAGAACCAAAAACTAGTCTCTGTATAAGCGTCATTAAAAATTCATGTAATCACTGATCTTTCAGGAGATCTCTCTGTTGGAAAATTTAGAACAATTTAGATTGAGTGTGTTTATACCCACTTTTTGATGCATCTACAGTTCTAAAGGGCTGAAGCACAACAAGAGTCAATTAAAAAAAAAACCTCAGAGGTCCTACAGGAAAACCCTAGGAACAAACAAAACTCAGCCTAAGCTCCCTCCTTATCTTATTGTTTATTAAGTAAAGAATAAAGAAAAATTCTAAGAAAGGGAGAGTGTTTTGGACATTAATCCAGTATGTATGTATTGTCTTGAGAGCAGGATAGGGATTCTACCTGTTCACAATTAGCATTATATCCTAACTGTAAGAGCCAATGTAAAATTAGGTAATAACTCATGGATGAGAATTAAGTGATATTTTCACTTTGTATATCCATGCTCATGAATGTGTCTAGATTTTCTATGTAGATAACATTTTCAAAGTTTGGCCCCGTTTGTAGAACTCACCAACATACATTTTCGTGTCCTTTCATTTTAGTTACATTGAAAGAAAACTAAACAATGTCAAAATTTACAAGTTATACCACATGCAGTTCTAGACGCTCCATGGGGATTAAGAGTGCTCAAGGCAATGCTGTTCTTCTTAAAGGTTGTATGTACTTTCAACAAAGTATATCAAATAAACTTATCACTGAAATCAGAGCAGGTCATAAAAATATGGCAACCACTGCATGCTGAATTCTGCAAGTTATATCTTCCTCTAGAGCTAAAGAAACCTCCTCTCAAAATTAGTTGAGGAGAAAAAAAAATGCACTACCAACCAGATCAATTAAGTCTTTAACAGTTGGAAGAGACGATATGCTATAAGAAGTTTTCTTCAACTTGGTTTTAAATAAACTGCAGTAAATAGGAGCTCTGGTCTTTGTAACCAGCTCACATGTTTATCTGTGAGCCTACCTAAATCATTTTGAAACCTTCTGGTTGTTATATACAAATTTGGAAGTTACACATTACTGTACATACACTACAACAAATACTTTAAAATGTAAAATACGCTTTACAAAAATCAGATACATTTTAAATTGAACAGTGACCCCACCTAATTTCAAATTAAAGCTAAGACATTTTCTTAATAAAAATACAACTTTTGAATTTATTTTATCCTTTTCCATTTACCTCTGATGAAGATGACCAAAATGTGATTTTAACTTGAGTGGAAGGACTAAGATATAATATAAAGTGGGTAATTTAATTTAAAAAAATTGTAACTGCAAACTTTTTATTTTGATTTTGCCAAACCCAATTGATTCCAGAAAGTTAAGAACCGCCACTGTTAAAATGGAAAATGAAAGATATATATCTATATTTAATTCATTCAAATTATTTTAAAAAAAAATCTATAGTCTGATTTTAACTGTATTTTGCTTTATCTTTTCCTAGCTGAAAAGCTGGTTCATAGAAAGTGTCAGTACACTCTCACGTTATCAGCTAGCACTAATATTAGTTATACACTGGTATCTCCTGTCTACAGATAGAAGGTACCAGGGTTCGACTTTCTGCAAAGAGTGCAACTTCGCATAAGCTTTTTTGACCTCACACTGTGACCCTCATACCAGCATCCACAGGCTACAGGTCATGACCTCATGAATTAGCATCATGGAAATAAGGGCCATTCCAGGTTTAGTTACAGAACAGAACACTGTAGCAACAACTCTTCAATCTTTTCTCTTTCTAGCTGCACTGTGCAGCTTTGTTTACTCCTCAAGAAGACAATACAGAACACAAACTTCAGTTTTCATTACTAGCACTCTAAATCTTGTTCTCCTGTGCTAAAGGTCTGATTTCCTGCTACACTATGAACATATTCATTCAGGGTGGATCAAAAGCCAATAAATATCATATAGTCATTAAAATCAACCTATTAAAAAGTAAAAGAGATATCACTGTTGAAGAGAAGACTTTAGTATCTCTCCTTCACAAAAAAGGTCTCAAATAAATTATCACTATTAATGTTCCTTACTGCCAAAGTAGACTGCTTTGAATACACTTTCTATGACAAAACATTAATTGTATAGTTTTAGACAATACTGAGTTTTTGTTATTTATTACTTTATTAAGTAATCTATATTTAAGACATTCAATTTATATAAACTTCCAGCTACATTTCTAAACAAGACCCCTTTATTAGTGAACTTTCTCCTATGGTGTATTCATGAAGTAAATATAACCAAGTTATTCAATGAGTGAGGTTTTAGCACACAAATTTTGAAGCACACAGGAGATTTTTGAAGCTTTTAAATTTTTTTGCTCAGTAGGGGGAGCTAGCATCCTCATCCTTGAAAGTCAATAAATGCACAAGCTGAACATTTGAATGTTATGCTTTTAAACACATGTACAGTATGTTTATTCAATTGAGAGTCTGTCAATGAGCAAAGTATTTAAGTCATACCACAGTGAAATAAAATATTTTACATTTACCTTTATCCTGGAAATCTTGAGGGTAACTGCAGGGGAGGGAGAAAAGAAAGACAACATGAAGCAATATGCATTTGGAAAGTCTCAGGTTGTGACAAACCCAAATACAGAAAAATTATTAGTTTCCAAATAACAGTTTTGAGCTATGAGTACTGCTGCTGCAAATTTATATTGGAAATTTTCACCTTTATTAAAACATTTAATCAGTTCTTCTTTCAGTGTTTTTGAATTTTTGAGCATGATTATCAAACATTTTAAAGAAATTCCATGGAATAGTGACAAATAAAAAATGCTACTTAAAAACAGATTCAGGTGTAATAATAAAAATACTTAAAAAAAGATTCTAACACATTTGCTCAAATAGCTTAATTAAAATGGTGAACATATGACATAACGTTTACTTTCCATTACCTTCCCAAAAGTTAATATCATATTTTAAGATATCTCTATATAAATGAAAGCCATTTATCAGAAGTTACATATTACAATCTTTTTACATGTTTTATAATGAACACAATGTGACTTGAATATTTTAGCAGCATATGAAAAACAAAATAGATATACAGAAGATACTTGTTAATTAAGATGTTGATATGCGTTTAAATATAATAGCTCTTTGAATACATAGTCACATATTGTGAATACATATTCACAATAAAGCAAGGCTTAATAAAATTTACCCAACAACTCTTATATGGAATGATACTACTATACCTCTTATACTGAGTGATACTACTTGCTGTGGTGAAAACTACATGGATTGCCATGTCCCCCAAAGCTACAATCCTTGCAACATACGTGAACAAAACAGTTGCAGGGTGCAGCGACACAATAAGATGCAAGGTAAATAAATAAGGAAAGGTCATTGTTATGTATGGCTTTAACTGAAATCTCAGGAAGCTTGAATTTATTTGAGTAGGTGTAAAAAGGGGAGCTGATCAGAATGACTGGCAAGTAAGATGATCTTAACAGCTGCATTTTGTATGGACCAGAAGGGGTGGTGCAAGTGTCAGGAAACCCATTGAGCCGATGGTTAAAAGCAATGAAAATGAGAATCCAGGAGGCCCTCTGTGTGAGAGACTTAGAAATGCAAGCAGAGATAAAAGACTAGATCTAAGAAACATTGTGTAGAAAATAGCAATGTTTGGACACAGCCTGGATGAGTAGAACCGGTTGGAGAAATCAAAGGTGACTCTAGCAGATGCACATTTTGGGGCATGGGTGATAATAAGATGGGTGGCGTTAGCAATGATAAAGGTGGAAATGGGATAATTTGGAAATAAAGATAAGGGCTGAAATCTTGGCCCCACTGAAGTCAGTTGCAAAGCTCCTGTTTACTGTAATTGGGGTCAGGATTTCACCAAAGGAGTTCAGTTTCAGCAAGCTGAGTTTCAGTTCATGATAAGACACTCAGGAGAAGACAGAGAGGGGTAGAGATGTAGGGAGGAATGGGAGGAAACAAGTCAGGAGTGGAGAGTCATCTCTAGAAATGACAGCTAATGAAATCATCCAGGAATGAGTTGTGGAGAAAGAAGGGCCAGAATCTAGGACAGAGCCCTGGGGGACCCCCATGGAAAGTAGGAGAGGGGAGGAGGACCACCTACCAAAAGAAACATTAAATGAACAGAGAGGTAGAAGAACCTTTAGATTATAAACATTTAGGGGCCGGTTCTACATCTTCCTCATTAGAATAGCACTGAGTATACTGTCACCACTCAGTTACACTATCACTGACATTTGTAAAGGAGTGTGACATGAGAGCCAAGGATGAATATCAAGAAGGAAGGAGCAATAACTGTGAAAAAAAGCTGTGGAGAGGCTGAAGAGGAGAAGAATAACAAGTGCCAGAACATATCGTAATTTAAGATACAACATACTGCAGAACAGATTTTTTTTCCAATATGCCAAATCCTCTTCACTCAGTAGTTTGACTGAAGTTAGAGGGTGGAACTAAGTCAAATATACTCCCTGAAACAACATTAAGAAGACAGCTTTGTCTGACCTATGCTGCACTTAACAGTTTTCAATATCAGTTTAAAGGAACTTGTTGCTTAAAACTATTTTCAGCAGTGGTTAAATTTCCTAGCATGAACAAGGCTAATGAAAGAATAGGTTAAAACAAACAGATGTTGAAGTCAGTGGACAGAGTTATGCCAGCTTACATCAGCTGAGAATCTGGCCCAATAAAAATAATCATGCAACTGCAGCAAGCATCCTGGACAAGTTCTTCCAATATTACTGTTTTTATGTTTTAAAGAACTCATTAGTCAGAAGATGATAGGCCCTGGGCCAAGAACCAAAGCCCTGATCCCACAAAGGAATCCACACAGGCAGACACCTTCTGCCCCCATTCCCTACTGAAATAAATTGAATCCTATGGGGATTCAATTCAATTCACCCATGTAGATCCCTTTGCAAAGTAGCCATATAAAACTCCTTGTTAAAACAGAGTAGTTATCAAAAGAGCAACAAGCATTTACTAATAAATTAAAACAGTAAAGATGACTTACTTAGCCTTGACCTCTTTTATCTTCTTAATAAGAGCATCCTTTTTTTCCTTTGCTCTCTTGGATAAATTCTCTCCTTTGAGGGTATCAGATATAAATGTGTCAACATCTAGACCATGAAAAAAAAAAAAAAA